TCAAGATGACTACAACATGTGCGTGAAGTGCTGAGAGAATTACCTGACCAAAACGAAAACAGACTGATTTAAGTGTTATTTATGCTAAACACCAGGTATTGTCATGCCTGTAATGATGTTTACAGTGTTTTCTTTTCATAAATAAGGTAAGGTATATGTCAAAAAGAGGGAGAGGTCGTGACCCCGTAGAAACATGATTTTATTACACAGAGAGGAACTTTTATCACGAACTGATATGATTCATACCAAGACGATCGTAAAAATCATCTTCCACGAAACGTCATAACTGACAATTGAATAATCTGTTTGTTTCTGTGCTTGTTGAGAGGTACAGTCGACCAAACTCGTAAGATCGACTGTACCTCGAAAATGTTGATAATGAGTTTTAAACTCACCCATACATATATACACTCACACCTTTAGTTATCAAAGGGAAAGAACAGAGGCGTGCTTTTAAGCCACATTTGGCGATTATATATTACTAGGTTTTGGACGTCCCTTCACCCGCGTGTATGTCGGTAATCTCGGTAAAAAGTAGCCTATGTTACTCGCTGATAACGTAGCTTTCCATAGGTGAAATAATTATTAAAATCAGTTAAGTGGTTTAGGCGTGAAAGCGTAACAAACTAACTAACTTTCACTTTTGCGTATTTTATACTAGCTCGTGCCAGCGACTTCGTTCGCATGAGATTTGAAAAGCGCTGCCTTAGTGCGTTCGATTCCCGGACCGGGCAAAATTTTATAGGGTTTTCTGAGAGAAAAAATAGCCTAAGTTACTCCTTATATAGACAGTTACCTGGTAGTAAAATTTTATCTAAATCGGTATAGCCGTTTTGAAGATTACCCGGAAAAAAGTGACAGACTGACTAAAACTATTTGAACTGACTTTTAGGCACAAGTATCGTGCAAATAACCGTGTGGGCATGAAAAAACCTATTATTTTGACATTACAAACAATTCAATTTTATTTATTTGTATAAATTATATATTTTAGTAACCGGGCACTAAGGTATATTTCATGATAAACATTTCTACTTATATTGTTTGTTTGATACATACATACTCATAATAATAATCTATAGTAATAATACCATACGTTGGACGGCTGGATCAAGGGTCTGATGCAGACGGCAGTTCTCCACGGCTCGTATAGTGAGGAGGTTCCTATCTTTGGAGTCCTAACCGCCGGTGTCTTTTGTTAAATTTCTAAAAAAGAAACTTTTTTAATATATAATTTCTTTTTTTTTGATACATAATTGACTGATAGGATTCGTATAGACTTTTTTTTTGTAAATAAATACATATAATACATAGAAAACACCCAAACTCCGAAACAAATATTTGCAGACATTTTGTACGACCTGCTAATCGAACCCGAGACATAAGCACAGCAGTTGCATACGCTACCACTACACCACCGAGTCAGTCATATTGCTGTTGATGATGATGATTATCATCATAGATAGGTACTAAATAAAAGTGGTTTACTCAAAACCCATTCCACCTAATATACTCGTAGGTATGTTCTAGAATTACATTACGTTAATTATGTCGGTTGTACTTTGGACCTGATTGTGGCGCTGTATGGGATCCTGCTGATGGATGTTCGCGCTCATCAGCCACGCTTATAAAGTAACAATGTCATTCATTGTGGTGAGGCCGGTGTTGCGGAAATCCGGAATTCAATTATGGATTGTTACAGAAATTCTCAGAATAAAAAAAGTGATGTCACACAAACGTGTAATTTCGTTTTTTTTTCATTGGGAGCCTTTAAGCTACGATACCTACCTAGATCAACAACAAACAATGTCAAACACACTGAATTAAATCTGATTTAATCGTAGGTCAGAGTGTGACTGCGTCTAAGAAGACGGAGTACTCCAAGACTCGTTAGATCTTGCCTTCCTGGATAAAAGCCGTCTTCTTTAAGGTCATTTAATCTATGTGAGAAGACCACCTTACTTATATTACACAATTATATTATCCATTGGTTCCGATCAGCAGTCTAGAATGCTGAAACCTACAGCGCTCTCCTGCAACATAGTCAGGGCCGTCTTTAGCCTATTGTAAGCCCTGGGCACATTAGGATAATGGGGCACCTACGATCTTGACTAATTATTTCTGATTCTGATTATTCTGTTAGAATAGACATAGAAGTATTAGGTATATTCAGTCATTATCGCTGGTTTTTTTCGAAATAAATATGGTTTTCGGTAGTAAACATCAATTATGGATTGGTGATCTGGCTGGAATCAAAGGGGCCTTGTCGATCAAGGGGCCTAGGCTCGCGCCCAGAGTGCTCAGTGGGACAGTGGGGCCTGAACATGGTGAAGTAGTGTAAACAAATATTAAGAAGGTTTGTTAGCAAACAAGCATCCTTTTACCCACTGCCTGCAAATACTTACGGACACATTTATAAAATAAACTTTTTACGCTTAACCACAGATGATGAGCCTAAAGAAAGGGATATTGTGTTATAAGTAATTAATAATAATAACTTCATACATCTCGCACACGGCCGCCTGATAGCAAAATTAGACAGATCCTGTACTGCGGTACCCAGATTGCTGATAAATATTCTCATATATTTCTAAATGCACACATATAATAGACAAATTACACGGCGAAACAGATCAAATGGTCGTGCTCATCAGACAATTATTTGTCCTGGGTGGGTATCGAACCCACCACTTCTAGCTTAGCAGTCAGGTAACTTAACCAATAGACCAACAGGTCAGCCAATTAGGTGATATGCTTGTTAAAAATAATTCTAAATAAAAAAGGACCCGTTCAGGCATATTCAATTGACAGAGTCAGCAAATTTCTACGAAATTTATTCGTTTGAGGTCCATGTTTGATTACACATGATCTGTCTCGACCGGAGTGATACCATGATCTCACAGAAAACCGTTGTTAAATAATTATTACCTTGATTTTCACCGAGTAAGTAAGTCCCCTTGATTCTTTTGGAAGGGTTATTCAAACGGCGCCAACTAGGAAACTAATTCCCGTTAGTAGTATTCTCCTTTTACATATAATTATATATCTTTCTCATGCAACAGAAGTGGATCGCAAAATTGCCATAATGTTTTGATTTGTAACGTTGGACGTGAGTACAGACAGCCCAACATCTAGCAATTGTTATCATAGCCGTGGGAATTGAGTTGTGGCCAATTTTAAATGTCCAAGCCATATATTGATCTGGGAACTTGTATTCCATTACATATTATATTCATATCTCTTTCAAAACAGGCTTATTAAACTTGTACTTAAATTTTTTTTAAAGGTTTAAAATGAATGAACATGTTCCATTCCTCAAATGGAAAAAGGAACTCTTAAAAGACCACTTTGTTGTCCTTGTAGTGACGGTGACATACCGTGTACAGTGTGATGACGGATTAAGAATGCGGAGTGTCTCCCTGTGCATCCCGTGAGTGTCGAAAAAGCCGAGTAAGGGAGCAAACTAAGCAGAAAAACAACTTTGCAAAGAGAAGGAAAACTTGAAACAAACGCTACACCAACCCCTGGCCAGCGTGGTATAGTAGGCAAAAACATCCTTTCTAAGAAGAGGCCATGTACTATTACAGGCCGTTGATGATGATGATGTTGTCCTTTTTCCAGTCTGTCAGTCAAGACTTTTCAACCAACCGATGTCTGCAGTCGAATATTGTGAGTCAGTCGTGCAGTATGACCGGAAAATCCTTTTCAATACTAACCATGCTGTTACTCTGTATCATTTTCTTATGAGATTTTCTCATCAATTTTATTAAAAATCAAACCCTAAGCCAACTGGATAAGATAGACATTCGTCTTACATTTATGTACTTAGATTTTTGCGAACTATAATGAGTAGTAACATGTTAAGAGATGCGACGGTGTTGTACGGCATTCAGCGAGACTGATATCACCACGTAATATGTTAGTAAATACACACATTTGTCAGGAGTATTGTTGATTGGCTACAGGTTACCCACATACGAAGCGATCGAGATTTATTTCTTCGATATGTTTTTGAGGAGACCAGTAAGTGTAATGACCAAAAAAAGAAAGAAACCTGCAGAGGTCTGCAGATAATTTAAATTGATTACTACGAGAATTGTTTGGTAATTACGCATCTTCATGTTTTGGGATGATACTGGAAGACAGTAAACATTCTTGCTCATGTCGTTGAAAACTTAGATAATACACGATACGAGTAACGGTTGAAATAAGTAATTGTTATCCTAATGACTTAAATATTATTGTTAACCTGATGTTTTTAAATATCACATTGTATCTTTTGTAAAAAAAAGTACCGTAAGATTGAGAATTAAAGTAAGAAAAAATAACTTATTTACATTAACCGCGTAATTTTTAGTTTCATAATTTCAAGCTTTAGAAACACTTGTGACCACTTCAGACCGTGTGGTGACCTGTTAGAACAGGCACTACTCATTTAATGGCCTTGGCTCATAAAATAATTATATTCGAATTGCATAATATCTTGTGATACGATATGATTATGGCAATTATTCCTTGACCAGGCTGAACTTTCAAACCAGCACGACAGATTTTCAACTTACATTGCTAACAACCATTCCTTCTGAGAATAGCATATGCATTATCATCAGCCTATAGCAGTCCACTGCTGGACATAGGCCTCTCCCATTGCACACCACTTAGATCGATTTTTGACTTCTCGCATCCAGCCCCTGCCAGCCATCTTGCGCAAATCGTCACTCCACCTGGCCTGTGGGCGTCCTACACTACGTTTGCCGAGACGCGGTCTCCACTCAAGAACTCGTTTACATAAATTTATAACACCCCTGACACGAACATCAACCGAAGGTTTAGGTGCAGCATCAGGTCACAATATCATCAGGTCATCAAGTTACAATTTATTTTTTTGTGTGTTACAATAATTAAAATTTGTGTCCAGACCTAATACATAAATACGATTACAATCGAATGCAGTCGGCTCTTGCGCAAACAGCCTTAGAATGTAAAGGTGCGCGCGATTCATGTACGAACACAATTGGTGCATAATAGCGCTCGGCGCTCAGTGCTCGGCCGCCGCCCGCATGCCCAACACGCGACGTTTGCTGTCCGCTCGCTGGTTCCGAGCGCGCCGCACCGCGCGGCACGACGACGATGAGCCGCCGGCCGCGTTGCGGCGCCAGCCGGTCCGCGGAACTGTCTCCAGCCAGCCACACCCAACCCTCGACGAAGAATCCCTGGAGCGTGCCTACCCCTCCATGGCGCATCTCGAGTATGTCAACGCGGGATCTTCGCCTCCGGCCGAAAGTGCTCCCAACATGTACGACAGCTTCGAGGAGCCGCCGCTCGACCTAACTGCGCACATCTGCGCGGACTCGTTACGTCAGAGTGCGCATGAGCAGATGCGCGCCGTTGGCGGACGTCTGCGATTATTGGACGAGCTCGAGACCGGGGTCATTACCGCCGAATCTGTCGCTACCGCCTTCTCTGCTGCATCTGAAGCCGAAAAGAATGTGTGTCTGTTTTGGGTAGCATACCTTAAACTCGCTAACTTACTGCAGCCTCTAATCGAGGCTGGAGCCGATCCGCTCTGTTTTGACGCTCTCGGATTAACTCCCTTACACGTTGCAGCCTTCAGTGGCTCGACAGAATGCGCCACTTTTCTTCTGTCCTGTGGCTGCGATCCCAATTACATGCCGCGATGCTTCGCTCCGCTTCATTGTGCAGCGTTTGGAAATTCAGTGCAAGTGGCTAATCTGTTAATAAGTCGCGGTGCATCTGTACATTCAGCCGTAAAGTATGTCAACTGTGAAGGTGGCCTCCTGCACTGCGCCGTGCGCGCCAACTCTGTGGAATGTCTCAAACTGTTTATATCCCATGGCGTCGACGTCAATCAAATTGAGCCGGGTGGCACTAACGCCATCCACCTCGCCGCTGACTTGGGAATGTTCCAGTGCCTCACTATATTGTTGGAGACACCGGGCGCGGATGCCAACGTGAGAACACGTGTAGGTGACAGAGAGTCTACTGCTCTACACCTGGCTGCTGACGGTGGTTTTGTTGACTGTGTAGATTTATTACTCTCCAAAGGTGCTGACGCGAGTTTGAAAAACCATAGAGGCTTTACTGCCTTGCATCTAGCGGCTCGTTCGGCTAGCTTAGAATGTGTTGAATCGTTGCTAAGAAAAGGAAACGCCGAACCAAACGCTAACGACTTTGACATGAGAACCCCTTTGCACGCTGCTATAGGCAAGTCCGACAGTGCATGTGATATAATTGAGACGTTGATAAGTTGGGGAGCAAATGTAAATCAGAAGGACGAATATGGTTTTACTCCACTGCACCTGGCTGCCCTTGACGGTCTCTCAGCGTGCGTGGAGACATTAATTTATCACGGTGCTGACGTAACTACGAGATCTAAGAAAGGAAACTCGGCTCTTAATGTAATAGCTAGAAAAACACCGGCGTCTCTTGCGATGGTAACTAGAAAATTGGACTGTGCAATTACGCTTCGCCATACACAGACGAGCAATAGAGAGGTCGAATTGGAATTAGATTTTAGGAGCATTTTGCATCACTGTTATCCACGTGAAATAAGTTATTTGAACACATTTGTCGATGAGGGACAAAAAGAAGTCTTACTCCATCCACTTTGTTCAGCATTTCTTTACATAAAATGGGAGAAAATACGTAAATATTACGTTGCCAGGTTGTTTCTAAGCTTCATTTTCGTTTTATGTTTAACACTGTATGTTTTGACGGCATTAGCACATAATTGCTACAATGGTAGTAAAGATATGGAGGAGACTATACAAGAGCAAGAACTGTGTCAAAAACAGTCGATCCTTGGGGATTTGTTAAGGAAAAATCCTTTTGTTATTGAAATGCAATGGTGGGTGCTAGCCGGTATCACGATCTTTGAGATATTCAGGAAAGTTTATGGAATAGCTGGATATTCCACAGTAAGACAATATTTAATGCAATCTGAAAATATTATTGAGTGGTTCGTGATCGTAAGCGTTTTTCTCATATCGTATATCTACACTAACATAACATACACTTGGCAGAACCACGTAGGAGCGTTCGCTGTACTCGCTGGTTGGACAAACCTGATGATGATGATTGGGCAGCTACCAGTGTTTGGCACTTACGTCGCAATGTACCAAAAAGTCCAAAAAGAATTTGCAAAGCTGTTGATGGCTTATTCTTGTATCTTAATTGGGTTTACTATAAGTTTCTGTGTTATATTTCCTGATTCCTCATCATTTGCAAACCCATTTATGGGATTCATAACAGTTTTGACCATGATGATCGGTGAACTAAATTTGGATTTACTACTCAATGAACCAGATGGAAACGACCCCCCCGTCCTATTAGAGTTCTCAGCACAAATCACTTACGTACTATTTCTAATGTTTGTAACCGTAGTTCTTATGAATTTGCTTGTGGGTATAGCCGTCCACGACATACAGGGACTGAGGAAAACCGCTGGTCTGTCAAAACTTGTCAGACAAACGAAGCTGATATCATACATGGAATTAGCATTATTCAATGGATATCTTCCGAAATGTCTATTAAAAATTTTGCACTCCTCGGCGTTGGTGTCCCCACAAGCGTATAGAGTCGTATTGAGCGTCAAACCGTTGAACCCAAGCGAGAAACGACTTCCTCGGGACATAATGATGGCAGCTTATGACATAGCAAAAATGCGAAAGCAATACGGCCACACTATTTCTTCGAGCGGTTCTACAACAGGGGCGTATTCCTGCTTCAAGAAATATGAAAACAACAATGACAGTGGTTATCGAGAGTACGGGTACTCTTCAGGGTTGGGCAGTTTGCAAGCAAGATTAGATGAAACTTCGGAAAATGTTAAGCAGTTGACGCAAGAAGTGAGAGAATTAAAGAAGCTGATAAACGCCCAACAGCTTGTGTTACAACAAGCGCTCTCCAGCGCGATGGACCGTTGATGATATAATGGATGCCGTTTACTTTCAATGCCACTGTATACAAGTCAATAAACTACAGTGAATATTGTACGATATCGCTCGGTGTATTGGCGGACTTAAATTTGAAGTGGTGTTTTTTTTTTGTTATTTTGCTTTATGTAGTTGTACCACTGTTACACCAAAATATTTCGTAGGATAATGATAAAATATAATTGATTTTTGGTGTAATAAGGGTGCGTAGAATTAGAGGATGGAGATAGGACTCTATTCATAAACAGTTGAATCGCGGGTTGACTAACAAATGTTGGTTCAAATCCGGTTATTTTGTTAGCTCACATGTTAACATAAAACAGTAGGGTGTATCCAAAATTTACGGGCTGGTCCCACATTTAAACTGTGATTCGAACACATGTATTGTACACAATATATGTGGTTTCAATTTTAAGCCTATCTTTTATATGATTATCTTAGTGATTAAACTACAAACTGTAAATGAATGGAGTTCTTACAGTGATATTTTTGTAAAGTTTGACGCAGAGAGCACTGGACACTGTGATTGTAGCTTTTACATTGTATTATACTTAGTTCTTTTTGTGATATTAATCGTGTCATTAAAAGTATGTTTTAACAAATGTGTGTTCATATCTTTCCTATTTTACATTTAATTGTATATTCATTCCTATTTAATTGGGGGGGAACCACAAATAGACCGGCTCGACCGGAGTGACAGCGGACTTGTGACGCTTGACCTGTAGGTGTCCACGTTACTTACCATCAGGAGCCTTCTGATCGTTTGCCCTCCTATAACACAAAAAAAAAACTTTTTTTTTAGGGTTTTCGTGTCCGTCTGTTTGTCAAGACCCTTTATCTCGGTAACGCGCGGAGGTATCAAGTTGAAAATAAAACCATATACCTACCAGGTCTACAGTCCTTTAAAGATGTAAAAAATCAAACTTCTAAAATTATACGGCTGCTTATCCCGCAAAAAACGAATTTTTCAATAAAATAAAATTCATAGGGTACCTACTTCCCGTTGATCTAGAACTATGAAATTTGGCAAGTAACTTTGTCCTATACTACTAGGGAAAAATCTGAAAACTAAAAATTTGTAATTAACGCATAAAAAATATTGTATTATTTAGTAGTAGTAGATTTAGTCTTATTTAAAAATAAATTATCCAATTCAACTCAAAAGTGACAGTTCTGAGGTAACAAACATAAAGAAAATGCAATTAGTTTGATAACCTCCTTCTTCTTGTCAAGTCAGTTGGAAAGAGATTTGCTAAATCAAGTGATAAAACAAAATATTAACATGCCATGAACTAATTCATTATCTACTTTGGGCTACTCTATCAAAGGGCGTTGATATCAATCTCATTTGGACATTTGAATTGCGCGCTTCTAAAGGAAGACGCATAACCGGGAATTACTTATTTGTGGAAGAGTACCTAGTAAAATATTACGTTACCTAACATCCTTAAAAAATAAACCTAAATACTTATTATTTAAATTAATTACTCTTTACAATTTAACAGACTTTTTCTTTTGTTTAACATCTTATAATATCCTCTTTAAAGACAAACGCCTTATAAACGTATTTATATTTTAACAACTTATTGTAACCATATATTCTACTTATACTACAAAATATACAATTCTTATTATTTTTTAAGATGTTACTGCAGCAACTACTTTAAACAGAATTAAAAAGTCCTTAAACGACGCAAGTTTCAGCTGGCGAAGTAGACAAGTCGACATAACAATAACAAAGCTAAACACTCGTTTGACGTTAGTTACCCATGCGCGGGACGACTGCCGAGCTCAAAATAAACAGCTCCAGTTCGATCGATCAATAACGAGAAGAGAACAGGAAATCTAGACTCAGGTCTTATCTCTTTCGCCCGGGTCATAGTTACCATTTAAGGCATAAACCTGCCTTTATTGATTGTGTATGCTATCGGATAGTGAGTGAGATTCGGCGCTCAAATGCAGGGCAGTTTCAAGATTCAACTCATAAATATGGGGACGCGGGCGACGGCATGTAAGTTTTATCGTAGTTCATTAAGGCTTTTTGTTAATTATAAACACTGTCGACGCTTGCATGTACATTAACGCATTTCAGAGTTGTATGAAGGAGCGTCGTTGATTAGTGCTTTATATGTGTCCTAATGGCTGAGACCTCGGGATAATGCAGACCGTTCTATTCGACTCTCTGAGCTGGAAAGGTGAGCTCGTGCAAGCGAGCGGTGTTGTTCTTCGTTACATTGTGGCACTGCCTGATCCTGGCACGTTGCTTGCCCCCCAATTCTGGGGTTGCCATCTGTGTCTCCTGTAAGTTTTTCCAGATATCTCTTGTACATTCCTTCTAGATGTTACATAGCCTTTTTATCTAGGTGCCTGTGTGCTGGTAGCATTCCATTAATGATATAAAATAGAGATAAAAAAAAATGTCGTTTTTTTTTTCTAAAATTTGACAGTGATATTTAGAATTTAGACATGATACACTATCTTTTAAAATTAATTTTAAATTCATAAGATTAATTTTATAAATGACTAATATGTAGTCATTCACATTATATAGTTGCATTAAATATGAAATATTTTCCTCTGAAATCACCATTACTTAGCTACTAAGTAGTATTTTATCAGAATATATATTATTAGTTATATTTTATAAATGATTTCTACAATCCCTTGTTCTTCTATTTACAATACTTTTGGTTAATCCTAATTCGAAGATGGTAACCCTATCTCCTTCTAGGTTTTGTGTGAATATCCTCATAGGTCTCTTGGTGTTTATCCCCCTTCTGACCCTAAATCCAGTATGTCTGTTAAATCTGTGATACCTGTTCATGCTGATACACTACTTCAAGCGTGATATAATGTTGTCTAAATGTTTTATGTAATCTGGATTCTGGTAATTTGTTGTCATTGGTTTTAATATTTTATTTCTTAATTTCAGCAATTACATCTGTCAGATTTGCTTTCTGTTTTGTTTCAATGTTTAATGGTAATTATTTTTATAGAATAGTCACTGCATTATTATTCAGTAGCACACTGTGAGTGTTTGAGAATATATTTGTTCTATAATTGTACAACTGTTTGTAGTTCCTGAATATATGTTGGGTTGAAAGCATCTAATTTCTTAAAATTTTGTAAAAATATTGTGATTAGATAATACAAATTACAGAAGGCTGGTAAAGACCTTATATTGTCTTGTTTATTGCTTCTTTGTGAAGCATGCTGTTAATGCAATAAATATTTTGATATTCATTAAAAAAGAGGCAACTTAAAAGAAATTGGAATATTTATTTGATTATTTTTGCAGGGAAGTATATGTGTTGCAATGTTATGGAAATGATTTACTGAGAGTTGTTGGACACAACAATGTTGAGATGAAATATAAACATGATCATGTTCACCTAAAGCTGTTGATGATGAGGCAATGACTGATTCTTAATCATGCTCATGAAGGGGTACACATTAAATTAGGTCATAAAGTTAGTCACACTTAATTTTTTAATACTCACACTTGAATTTATTAGTATATTATTAGATACCTAATTGAAAACAAATAATGCTTTTTTATTATAAAATAAAATTTAAATAAGATTTATATTAAAAAAAAAATACAACAAAATGGTACTAGCGCCATCTAGGGACGAAAGGCTGATCTACCTGAGTAGAGACTGATTCTGTATGGTGCAGTAAATTAAATATTTCATAATAATAATATATCTAAGGTTGCCTCTAGGTAATTTCCAACAGGCAACTCAATAATTATGTACAGGTTTTTTTTGTCCATGTATGCCTGACTTAGTTTCTTGTTTTTTCTTCTCAGTCAGGAAGCATAAAAAAAATCAAAATTGTCTAGAGACTTTAATGATAGGATAAATATTTCATTTTATTTTAACTATTACTTTAAATGTCTCTCATAACATTTCTCTTGCAATAACTTGTCAAGTCTTTGAAAATTGTGTTATTTTCAAAGACTTGAGACTAATAATTAAATTATTAGAATCCAGAACCTGTTTGTGTGGCTCACCTTTCTAAAGTTGGCTATCCCGTGTTTGTCCATCGCTTGTCCCAGCTGTGGACTTCCTTGTCTTCATCGCACCTGTTTAACGTTCCTGAATGTTTGTAAATAAGTCGTTTCTGATGTGTTGTGACCATTTTCTTTAATAGTGTTAGAGATTTGGGATGGACAGTGGAATATATTTATAAATTGTATTGTTTTGGGACTTAGTGTTATAAATTGTATTGTTTTGGGACTTAGTGTATTTAATATGGATTGAAACATAGTTGCTGTGTTCACCTAATTAGTTAGATAATTGAAGAGACGTCATTTTTATTTATATATATACTAGCTTTTCAACTTGGCTCCGTCCGCGTGTATGTTAGTTTTCGTGGTAAAAAGTAACCCATGTCTGTGTAATGTAGCTTTCCATTGGTGAGGGTTTTTAAAATCGGTTTAGTGGTTTAGGCTTGAAAGGTAACCAATAAATACACTTTCACATTTATAATATAAGTATGGAAGTATGACGTATGGCTCATGAATAAAAAAATTGTTGGAACTGTTGGTGAATCTACATTAAAAAATTAGGACTTAATGTATTAAATATAAATTGAGATTTAGTTATAAAACATTCCAAAGCGATGTTTTAACCGACTTAAAATAAAGGAATGAAGAATACAGTTTCTAACAACTCAACGTGCGCATGCGCATTAAGGTCATTCAAACTTTTTATATTAAACTATTTGTACCCTACCACGCTCCTCCTGTACCACATTATGGTTGCATTGATGAGAAATGAGAAAAAAAGGGAAAAATAGATAAAAATGATCTTTGAAGTGGTTACTATATCGCACACTCAGAATAGAACCGTCATTAACGCAAAAACGCAATTTTTCAGTGGAAGCATTTAAAAGTTTTCGAATGAAGAAACGTTGCAAAAGCGTAGTATATCAAACAAAATCATGTTCAGTTTTGTACTCGGTATAATCAGTGTTTGGCCCATCTT